GTGCCCCAACCCCACCCAGGTGTATCTTGACCCCCTCCAGGTGTGTCCAGGTGTGCCCCACCTCATCCAGGTGTGCCCCAACCCCACCCAGGTGTGTCCTGACCCCATCCAGGTGTATCCAGGTGTATCTTGACCTCATCCAGGTGTATCCAGGTGTGCCCTGACCCCATCCAGGTGTGTCCAGGTGTGCCCTGACCCCATCCAGGTGTGTCCCTGCTCCATCCAGGTGTGCCCTAACCCCCTCCAGGTGTGTCCAGGTGTGTCCTGACCTCATCCAGGTGTGTCCAGGTGTGCCCCACCCCATCCAGGTGTGCCCTAACCCCATCCAGGTGTGCCCTGACCCCACCCAGGTGTGTCCAGGTGTATCCAGGTGTGCCCTGACCCCATCCAGGTGTGTCCAGGTGTGCCCTAACCCCATCCAGGGTATTCAGGTGTGCCCTGACCCCCTCCAGGTGTGTCCAGGTGTGCCCTAACCCCATCCAGGTGTGTCCAGGTGTATCCAGGTGTGCCCTGACCCCATCCAGGGTATTCAGGTGTGCCCTGACCCCCTCCAGGTGTGTCCAGGTGTGCCCTAACCCCATCCAGGTGTGCCCTGACCCCATCCAGGTGTGTCCAGGTGTGCCCCACCCCATCCAGGTGTGCCCTGACCCCATCCAGGTGCGTCCAGGTGCGCCCCCACCTTCACCCCCCTCACCTGCACAACCTCTCCATCAGCGCCTCCGAATCTTCATCCTCCTCCTCCTCCTCCTCCTTCTTCTCCTCCTCCACCTTCACCTGCGCGTCCTTCTCCTCCTTCTCCTGGCCGTCCTCCTTCTCCTGGCCCTCGGGCCTCACCTGGCCGGGCCTCACCTGGCCGGGCCTCACCTGGCCGGCGCGGCGGCGGGCGGCGGCGTAGTCGAACTTGTAGTAGGTGTGGAGGACGCGCAGCAGGTAGACGCGGCACAGCTCCTCGGGGCTGCCCTTGGCCTGCAGGTAACGCTGCAGCCGCGCGATGATGCCGCAGACGCGCGCCTCGTCCTTCAGGTGCTCCACGTACTCTGGGGGAGACACACCTGGCTTACCTGGGCTCACCTGGCGGGCAGGTGAGGGCTTCGAAATAACAAAAATCCCAAAAAAACCCAAAAAATCCCACTAAAATCCAGCCAGGTGAGCCCCAGGTGAGCCCCAGGTGAGCCCCAGGTGAGCCCCAGGTGAGGTTTGGATCCTTCAGGTGCTCCACATACTCTGGGGGAGACACACCTGGGTTACCTGGGCTCACCTGGCGGGCAGGTGAGGGCTTCGAATGGCGAAAAAACAAAAAAAACCCTGAAAAAATCCATCCAGGTGAGCCCCAGGTGAGCCCCAGGTGAGCCCCAGCCCAGGTTTGGATCCTTCAGGTGCTCCAGGTACACTGAGGACACACCTGGGCTCACCTGGCGGGCAGGTGAGGGCTTAAAAATGGCAAAAAACAAAAAAAAACCCTGAAAAACCCCAAAAAATCCCACTAAAATCCCACCCAGGTGAGCCCCAGGTGAGCCCCAGTTCAGATTTGGATCCTTCAGGTGCTCCAGGTACACTGAGGACACACCTGGGCTCACCTGGCGGGCAGGTGAGGGCTTAAAATAGCAAAAAAACCAAAAAAAACCCCAAAAAAACCCAAAAAATCCCAGCCAGGTGAGCCCCAGTCCAGGTTTGGATCCTTCAGGTGCTCCAGGTGTTCTGAGGTCACACCTGGGCTCACCTGGGCAACAGGTGAGGCTTCAAATGGCAAAAAAACCAAAAAAACCCCGAAAAAATCCAGCCAGGTGAGCCCCAGGTGAGCCCCAGGTGAGGTTCCAGCTCCTTCAGGTGCTCCACGTACTCTGGAAGACACACCTGGCTTACCTGGGCTCACCTGGCGGGCAGGTGAGGGCTTCGAATAGGAAAAAAACCAAAAAAAAACCCCGAAAAACCCAAAAAAATCCCACTAAAATCCCAGCCAGGTGAGCCCCAGGTGAGCCCCAGTTCAGGTTTGGAGCCTTCGGGTGCTCCAGGTACACTGAGGTCACACCTGGGCTCACCTGGCTGGCAGGTGAGACCTAAAACCCCAAAAAGCCCAAAAATTCCCCCCAAAAAAAAACCCCAAAAAGCCCAAAAATTCCCCAAAAAAACCCCCAAAAATCCCAGCCAGGTGAGCTCCAGGTGAGCCCCAGTTCAGGTTTGGATCCCTCAGGTGCTCCAGGTACACTGAGGACACACCTGGGCTCACCTGGGCAACAGGTGAGACCTTAAAAACCCAAAAAAACCCCCCAAAAAACAAATAATAATAATAAAAAAAACCCCAAAATACCCAAAAATTTAAAAAAAAAATCCCAAAAATCCCAGCCAGGTGAGCTCCAGGTGAGCTCCAGGTGAGCCCCAGTTCAGGTTTGGATCCTTCAGGTGCTCCAGGTACACTGAGGACACACCTGGGCTCACCTGGGCAACAGGTGAGACCTTAAAAACCCAAAAAAAACCCCAAAAAACCCAAAAATTCCCAAAAAACCCCCAAAAATCCCAAAAATTCCCAAAAAACCCCCCAAAAATCCCAGCCAGGTGAGCCCCAGGTGAGCCCCAGGTGAGCTCCAGGTGAAGCTCCGGCTCCTTCAGGTGTTCTGAGGTCACAGAAACACCAAATTTGGGGTGAAAACCACAAAAATTGGCCCAAAAAAGTGAAAATTGGCCAAAAAAATGACCAAATTTCACTTTTTTGGAGAATTTTTTAGGATTTTTTGGGTTTTTTTGGGTTTTTTTGGGATTTTTGGGATTTATGGGGCCGAGCCCTGCCCCACATTATCTCCAGACCCACAGAAACCCCAAATTTGGGGTGAAAATGACCAAAAATGGCCAAAAAAAGCAAAAATTGGCTAAAACCAGCAAAAATTCACATTTTTTGAGAATTTTTAAGGATTTTTGGGTTTTTTTGGGATTTTTGGGATCTATGGGGTCGAGCCCTGCCCCACATCATCTCCAGCCCCACAGAAACCCCAAATTTGGGGTGAAAATGACCAAAAATGGCCAAAAAAAGCAAAAATTGGCTAAAACCAGCAAAAATTCAAGTTTTTGGAGAATTTTTAAGGATTTTTGGGGCTTTTTGGGATTTTTGGGGCCGAGCCCTGCCCACATCATCTCCAGCCCCACAGAAACCCCAAATTTGGGGTGAAAACCATAAAAACTGGCTAAAAAAAGTGAAAACTGGCCAAAAAATCGCCAAAAATTCACATTTTTTGAGATTTTTTTTTTTTGTTTTTTGGGTTTTTTGGGTTTTTTTGGGATTTTTGGGGCTGAGTCCTGCCCCACATCATCTCAAGCCCCACAGAAACCCAAAATTTGAAGTGAAAACTATAAAAATTGGCTAAAAAAAGTGAAAATCGGCCAAAAAATC